TTGTAGGCAAATGAAGAGAATAACAGAAATATGGTTGCACGTGTAGTCAAGTTTTTTTTTTATTTCACGAAGGTTATGGTAAAAATTTTAGGATTCTGATTTGGAGCGTATGTATATGCTTTGTGATCGTGTTGAAAATGGCCTGGATGAACTGAGATTGGCGCTGCAACGACATATCGCTCGCCAGGGTGAGATGGCACTCGATAAGATTGTGGATGTTGCGATTAATGTGAGTTCTCTTATAATTTGTCATGATTTCGTAATTTCTTTTTTCAAAAAGTTACGCAGAATTCTCATCAGCTACTAAGTTATTACTAAGTTTCTTGCCATAACTGATGTAGCTGCTGCCATTTCCTCCAAGCAGCTCTACACACGCGAATTGAAATGAGTTGGTGTTACAGCAGATTACAGCTCGGTAAACAAGACGAGTAACAGTCAGAAAGAAGCCGAACTACTGACAGGGCCTAAGAAAGTGAGAGGGAACGAGGAGTGAGTTGGAAAAATTGAAACGAAACAGGAAGAAAATTTGAGCAAATGAGGAAAAAAAATATAAACGTCGGGAACTCTGCACTTCAAAAATCAGTAAGCTGAAATCCAAAATACGACTTGCGGAACATACTTAGTGTTTACGAAACAGCCTATACTTTGCTGGAGAGGCAAATGTGAGTTGTGCGGTAAATTGGGTTTAACAGCACAGTACAGAAATCACATGCACAGATAACACATGAAAGAAAAAGTTGGAAAAAAAACCGGGGAAAGAGAAGAAAAAGAAGGGAAAAGAGAAAACAAAAAAAGAAAATATTTTCCAGTTCCATTTATTTGTGTACAGCGCAGTACAACCCCTTGGCCTGAGTCATTTTCATGCGAAAAGAAACGCATAAGGAAAAAAAAAATACAGTGACATAGCCAATTTCTTAAAAAAAAGAACACAATGTGAATGAGAACTAACATCACAACAAGAGAAGCAAAAAGGGAAATGCTACTTGGGCGACTTTCATAATTAAAGTAAAAACCCCCTCCTTATTTGCTATTATTCAGAGACAGGGGCATTCGTAAGGATTTCGACATTAAAACCAGCTAACAGCAACCAACCGCTAACAGCAGCCACTGAGCTTCAAATTACTTATTTATGAATTTCCACCAACAGCGACTAAATAACTT